GGTCTCTGATGGTCTTCCCACTCCACAGGAGGTCTGCCCAGTCCAGCATTGCCTGTGATTTTGTGGCTAAGCCCACCTGATCATGGGGTCAGTTAACTGGCCCACCTGGGTAACAAACAAAAGCCATGACCTTTAGTCTGCCTTCTTTCAGCACCAAAAATGCTATGTAGATGCTCCAACTGCCACTCCTCCTCGCCTTTTTTTTTGTTTTAAACTCAATATGTTCAGAACCTAGGAGGGGTAGTATTCTTCTGCCTAAACCATGTTCCCTACTCAGCCTATTTCCTAGTCATCCTTCAAGCCCTTAAACTAAGGAGTACCTTTCTGTTCTATACTCCCAGACGCCCAAACTTCTTAACACTTACACACTTTTAGCTACTGGATTTTCTTCCCAGCTGTATTGTAAGTTCCACATCTTTATTGTTCACTGCTTAATATACAAGTACAGGGTCTGCTGCATATTAAACTGTCAAGTATTTTGCAGATGAATGAAGGAATGAAAAGGGAAGTTGGTTATGGGAAAAAGGAAAACTTATTTTTTTTGGTGGCGTATATTTAATTAGATAAGATATGACTACCCAAAGGAATAAATGCAACATATATGTGAGTTATCAAGGTCAAGAACAAAATAATCTCCACCATTCTATCTGAGAACTAGAAAATTACCAGTACCCTCTGGGTATTTCTCCTCCCCTTCCCGTCCTTGGCAACTGCTAACCTACTTTCTGTTTCTATTGATTTGCCTATTCTAGATATTTCATATACATGGAATCATACAATATGTGGCTTTTTGTGTCAGGCTTCTTTCACCCAAGATAATGTTTTTAAGGTTCATTTGTACTGTAGCATGTATCAGCACTTCATTCCTTTTTATGGTTGAGTAATATTCCATTGTATGGATATAACACATTTGTTTATCCATTCATCTGTTGATGGACATATGAGTTTTTTCCACTTTTTACTCAATTATGAATAATGATGAGTTTTAGTTATGTTGATTTTTAGTTGGTGGCTGTGTAAATGGGAATTAAGAGATAAAATATTGATGGTGTACTAAACCAAGAAAGTCAAACTAAAAGTTAAAAAGTGAATTTATTGACTCTCATATGTAGATAGCAACTAAATCTGAATATATGATGGCATTATACTGGTGCTTGGCATATAGGGAGTATAGAAACAGATAGAACCTTGCAAGTTCTAATAGTCAGTGATGGAGGTGGCTTAATAACACCATGGGGACTGGTCAGAGAGGTTGGAATCAAATCAGGTGAGTATTGGAATTTTGAAGTCAAGGTTAGAGAGGAACCTAGATGATGAGCCACAATATATAAATCTTTGCAGAGGATGAAAGTTAGTCCTCAAAATGTGTATTAAATTTTCTTAAATAATCACTGTAGAATGTAAGGGTTGAGAACCAAATTGGAGAGGTACAGGATAATGTGGTCAGAAAGGGCACATAAGTAAATTTGTTGAAAATAAACATGATAGCATATTGGATTAGGAAGTTTCTAGTAGTTCATGGTGGAAAAGTAGTGCTAAGAGCATAGTGGTTGTCATGGTTTGAATTGTGTCCCCCCAAAAATGTATCAATTTGGTTGGGCCATGATTCCCAGAACTGTGTGGTTGGCCTCCATTTTGTGATTGTAATTTTATGTTAAAGAGGATTACGGTGGAATTGTAACACCACCCTTACCCAGGTCACATCCCTGATCCAATGTAAAGGGAGTTTCCCTGGGGTGTGGCCTGCACCACCTTTTATCTCTCAAGAGATAAAAGGAAAGGGAAGCAAGCAGAGAGCTGGGGACCTTATACCATCAAGAAAGCAGTGCCAGGAGCAGAGCGGGT